TTGCTGGTGCGCTGCATGTTTCTCTCGTGTCTTGTGTGTTGTTTTGTTTCTTGTTGTGTTGTGTGTCGTGTGTTGTGTGTTGTGTGTGTGTTGTGTGTGTCGTGTGTTGTGTGTCGTGTCGTGTGTTGTGTGTCATGTTGTGTACCTGATGATGCAGCACTGGTCCTTGCTGGTGCGCTGCATGTTGAAGTAGCAGTTGTCTGCGATGGCGAAGATGTGCGGGGGCAGTTCTCCGATCTTCTTGTTGGTGTAGAGTCGGATCTGCTCGGCCGTGTAGATCGGCAACAACTGGTACGGATTCACCGCCACCAGGATCGACCCGGTGTACGTCTGCGGAGCACACTCAGGTCACGCACTCAGGTCATAGTCACACACTCAGGTCACGCACTCAGGTCATTGTCAGGTCACACGCACTCAGGTCACGCACACTCAGGTCATTGGTCACTCATCAGTCACACACTCAGGTCACACACTCAGGTCATTGTCACGCACTCAGGTCACGCACTCAGGTCACACACACTCAGGTCATTCAGGTCACTCAGGTCACGGTCATTGTCACTCACTCAGGTCACGCACTCAGGTCACACTCAGGTCACGCACTCAGGTCATTGTCACTCACTCAGGTCACGCACTCAGGTCATGCACTCAGGTCATGTACTCAGGCCATATATAGACTAAACCAGGACTGAACCAAGACTGAACCAGGACTAAACCAGGACTAAACCAGGACTAATCTTGGACTAGGAGTTGGACTCTGGTTTGGTCCCTGAGAGAACCCTGAGCCTGTGGTCCGTGGTCCGAGTCTAAGTTTTGAGTTTGAATCATTATTAAAAAAAACGATTTGATTATTTTCTCATTTCCAGTGTCCTCAGAGGGGCTCCGTACAAACAATATTTCTTTTTTTTTATTTTTATAGTTTAGTGAAGTGTGAGTCGTTTTATTTAGTTTGAATATTTGTGATTTTTATTTAACATGATTCAAAAATAATAAAGATGAAGTCAGAATTTGATACAGACGTAGAATATTAATTATTTAAACTTCCTAAATCACACAAAAAAAAAAAAAAAAAATTCTTGTGAGATTTAAGTCGTGTTCTAACTCTGTTCCCTCGTCGAGTAAATTTTTATTCTGAATCTGTTACATCTACAAACTCCAAACGCTCTGTTCCACCTCGTGATGTCATGATGTGGTAGTTTTCCAAGTGAACAGTTCCGTTTGTTTTTAGTTCAGTCGACAAATGAATCTGTGTCGTTCGTTCATTTGTTTTTCAAAATAAAACCAAAAATAAGAAAATTTAAAAAACAACGATTTTCTTCATTATTTGTCTCCAAAAACAAAATGAAAAAACAGATAAAGGACTAAACCAGAACTAAACCAGGACTAAACCAGGACTAAACCAGGACTAAACCAGGACTAAACCAGGACTAAACCAGGACTGAAAACCAGGACTAAAACCAGGACTAAACCAGAACTAAACCAGGACTAAACCAGACTAAACCAGGACTAAACCAGGACTAAACCAGGACTAAACCAGACTAAACCAGACTAAACCAGGACTGAACCAGGACTAAACCAGGACTGAAACCAGAACTAAACCAGGACTAAACCAGGACTAAACCAGAACTAAACCAGGACTAAACCAGGACTAAACCAGGACTGAACCAGGACTGAACTGAACCAGGACTAAACCAGGTCTAAACCATTTTCAGTCCCGGTCTGGTTCCAGTCTCAGTCCCAGTTTCAATCACGGTTTGGTCCCAGTCTGGTCCTGATCTCAGTCCTGGTCTTGGTCCTGGTCTGGTCCTGGTCTAAGTCCTGATCTCAGTCCCGGTCTGCTTCTGGTCTAGTTCCAGTCCTGGTTTAGTCCCGGTTTAGTCCATTATCCTGTTTTTTTTTCAATTTTTCATTTAAACACAAAATCAAAAAACTAAAAAAACTAATCTTTATCTGTTTTTTTTATTTTGTTTTGTTTTGGAGACAAATAATGAAGAAAATCGTTGTTTTTCGTTTTCTTATTTTTGGTTTTATTTTGACAAATGAATGAACGAACGACACATGGATCCAGATGATTTTAGTGAAGGTGTGTTTAAAAAGTTTAAAAACACAGTGGAGCACTTCCTGTGTCACCACACGATGACATCACGAGGTGGATCAGAGCGTTTGTGTTTGTTTGAGAGAAAAACTCGTGCTGAATCTGCAGGTTTGAGAGAACAGTGCGACACGGGAGCTTTAACTTCAACAATTTATTCTAAAATTTAAAATAATTTTTTTTTTTTTATCTAAATCAAAAGTTAATCATTGCGGAAATTATTGCGAGGAAGAAAATCAAATGTTTTAAATGAAACAAAACAAAAAAACGAGTCACAGGATCTGATACTCACCCGACCACCGCAGTTCGTCTAAAAGAAAATACACGAATGTTCTTTTGATTATTATAAATGTGTGAATGAAAATCCCACGAAACTGAATCGAATAAAAAAAATAAATAAACTCAAATAAAAGTCCAGTTACAATCAAATATTATTACTCAAGTACAAATAAAAAGTCATGAGGAGTTAAATTTTATGAAAAAGTTTCTCTTGTAACTGTTCGAGATTTAACAATAACTGAAATATCGTGAAGTTTCTTTGCTTAAATTCATTGTTATGGTGCAAAAACTACATTTCCCATGATCCTTTGCTCTGTTGTGTCCAGGCTACAGGTTATAGGCTCTGTTCATGTTTACGTCACAAAACCGGAAGACGTTTGGAAACATGGAGGACATCACACTTGGACTTTAGAACCGCGTCGTGGTCAAAAAGGCTCCAGGAGGTTTTATGTTCCAAACTCAGAACCGAACTGAACCCAGTGGGACGTGTCTGTCGTCAAAGTCGATCTTTTCAAGTCTTTTGAACCACATCACTTTCTGGTTCTGATATTGTCATATTTTAGTTTTGGGATTCGGACGTCGTCATTGTTGTGGTTGTTGGATCCAAACAGCGGAAAACGACTCGAGAAACGGACTTCAGAAGTTTGTGACGTCCATAAATGGTCCTGGTCCAGCAGAAGTAAACATCAAGACCAAAAATTCCAGTTAATTCATCTGATATAAAAGTGTATTGAACAGATACATATGTACTCGAGTTTATCAAACTGTTGACCTTTTTTCTGTTCCATGTTTGGTTGTAAAGTTCCATCTGTTTTAAACAGACCATGAATGAAACATGGAACAAAAATGATTTCCCAAATTTCAAAGACCCAAAAATCATGTAAATAAATGTTTGTATTTCATCATATCTTGTGTTATTCCATCTTTGAACTGTTGATGAAGGGACAGGATTAAAAAAAAAAAAATGATAAAAATGTTCTTGGAAGGACTGACATATTTTATAGAAATAGTTTCTTTCATTTTGAAGTAATATTCAAATATTCAGAAGAAAAAAGCCACAAATGATGTAAAATCCTGCACCTTCTACTTGTTTGTACAATTTTCCCTCCGTTACTTTTCCCTCCGTTACCATGAACTTTCTTAATAAAAAATCTCATGAGTCAAAAACTCAGAGGTTTTTTCAACCTAATCTTGTCCCATATGGTAGAAAACTATATGAAGCAAATATTCAAACCAGTTTGTTCAGGATATGGAAGTGAGAACCAAGAGTTATCACTGTTTGGATTTATTGACCAAAAAGTGCTGCATATTTCATTCCCTCCGTTACCGACATGAGTTTTTACATTTTTTGTCTTGAACTTGAAAGAATCTCACAGGTTTAACTTGACCCTGTTGGAGTGTAACTCTTTCCTACATTCTGATACTTTACTTATTTCAATAGTTCCTCTAGTTTCTGAATAAGAGACATTTGAATGTCAAACATCTGACCCTGTTTCCTCCGTTAACACTTGACCAAACACAAATGTAAAAGTGAATCAGATGTGTGTGACTCAAACCTCTGTTCAAACTGTTTCTCTTCCCAACGGAATTGAAAAATAGTGAAAGGTGAAGGTGATGGGCAGGATTGATCCACAGGAAGAACCAAAAAGGAAACATTTGTCCGACTAAGAAATCATCTCGAGTTTACAGACATTTTGTATGTGGAGCCACGACAAAACAAAATCCCGTTTGTTAATGTCGAGGAGCAGAAGACAAACAGACTGAGCTGCACTTTCTTGTTCTTGTGGTTTTACACAAACATCACGTCTTGGTCTTTGCAGTGGAAGGTGTTTCTTGGTGAACAGTTGGAGACTTTCACTTTGGTGTCGACTTTTTAAATCCGTAACCAAGACTGAGTGAAGGATCGGGATTTTGTTTTGTCGTCGCTCCACATACAAAATGTTCTCTGTAAACTCGGGATGATTTCTTATTCAGACAAATGTTTCCTTTTTGGTTCTTCCTGTGGATCAATTCTGCCCATCACCTTCACCTTTCACTATTTTTCAACTTTGTTGTGAAGAGAAACAGTTTGAACGGAGGTTTGAGTCACACACATCTGATTCACTTTTGCATTTATGAAGTTCACAAACCCTTGTCAGAGTCTCTGCCTCAAGTGGAGGAGTTCAAGTATCTCGGGGTCTTGTTCACGAGTGAGGGAGATTGACAGGTGGACAGGTGCAGCGTCGGCAGTGATGCGGTCGCTGTATCGGTCGTTGTGGTGAAGAGGAGCTGAGCTGAAAGGTGAAGCTCTCGATTTACCGGTCAGTCTTCGTTCCTCCTCTCACCTCTGGTCATGAGTCTGGGTAGTGACCGAAAGGACGAGATCGCGGATACAAGCGTCGAAATGAGTTTCCTCCGCAGGGCGTCTGGGCGTCTCCCTTAGAGACAGAGGTCGGAGCTCGGAGTAGAGCCGCTGCTCCTCCACGTGGAGAGGAGCGTCTGAGGGGAGGACGTCTGTTCTGATGTCTCCTGGACGTGTCCCTCAGGAGGTGTTCATGTCCCACCAGGAGAAGACCCAGGACACACTGGAGGGACGATGTCTCTGGACTGGACTGGGAACACCTCAGGTCCCACTGGAGGAGCTGGAGGAAGT